ATAAATCAAATTTTAATACTGATAATAAAAATATAAATTTATTTAATAACATTTAAATTATTTTTATTTTTATTTTTATTTTTTAATAATCATAATAATATATTATAAAATACATGAAAATAAATAAAATTTTTTATTTAAAATTATAAAATTTATAAAAATTAAAAACCAAAACTAAAACTAAAACTCCAAAAATCCAAAATCATGGGACTAAAATGGTGTAAAAGTAGAACCCCAAAGAAAAAGGCCAAAAATGAACAAAGGAAACCAGAACCTACTCGAACTCCATTGAACAACTCTTTCTCCTTGGTCTGCTGGTTCTATATAAGACCGCAAGAACTTCTTCTCTTTCTTTCGGACCGGGTGGTATCAGTCACCGAGCGCAACGGCGGCGAGTTTGAGTTCAACACAAATACAACTAAAAGAGATCGGCAATCGCTGTTAACTTTCTCACCTTTCATATCAAATCAAACCCAAAAGAAACAGAGGTCGAGTAGCCATGGCCCCTGATGCTTCTGCTGCTCTTGCAGGTCCGGCCCAAACTCTCCCTGCATCTGTCTTTGTCTCTCCTTTTATGCATTATGTCTGTAAATATACTTGTCTAGATAGCCTCTTTTTTTTTTTTTTGGGGGTGTGGGGGGCGGGGGGATACACCCGAAGTAGCTTCTTGGCAACACAGAAGTTTGAACTTGAACTTGATCCCAAATCAAGGTTTTTTAAGTGAGATACTTGTCTAGATAGTTGTTTATGATGTTTCATCTTGCAATTCAAGTCTGGCAGAAAGTTTAATTTCTTTGCAGGCTATTCATTATTGGGTATTATTTTGTTATTTGGTCATTCAGGTCACTGTGGAACTTGTTTATGATTTTCTTATCAAAAAAGAAAATTGAATTATTTAAGTTATGTTTCTCTAATTCTGCAAGTTTTTTTAATGTTTGTATTGCAGTGAGGGATAAAGTTCAGAAATTTTTGAATGCAGCACAAACTGGGAATCTTGATCTTCTGAAGAGTAAGTTCAGAGTGTAATTTTTCCCTCTTTGAAAAAATTCAATTGGTAAACTGGGTTATTAATGTGTTGTCATCGTTGTATTCTTTACGTAGTTAAATGTTAATCTGAAATTCTTATTGGTTCGGTTGATGTTTGTTTGGAGTAGAGATAGCGGCGCAACTTGATGAGGGGAAGGGATTGGGAAAAACTATTGCAGATATTAAAGATGCAAACAAAAGGGGGGCAATTCATTTTGCAGCAAGAGAGGGCAAGACCGAGGTGTGCAAGTACTTGTTAGAAGAGTTGAAGCTTGATGTTGACTCAAAAGATGAAGATGGTAAGCACCTGGAAATTGCTTTAGACATGCTTGAACTTTTCATTGTACGAGTTTGATAATTGGTTTCATGATATTACTGGTTTTTCTTTGTTTGCAACTTTTTCATTGAACCATCTTTGGCAGTTTTCCCTCTGTTTTCTTTACATGCATGACCTGAAGTGATGGGTTCTCTAAAGCTTGCCATCATACATTCATTTGTCTAAGCTCTCAACTTTAGAATTTCTTGTGAAATGCAGGGGAAACTGCTCTTTTACATGCTGCCCGGCAAGGGCATACACTCACTGCAAAGTACCTTCTTGAGCAGGGTGCTAATCCTACTTTAGCAAGTGAGCTAGGTGCCACAGCCTTGCATCATTCTGCAGGAATAGG